AGAAACACTGAAAGGAAAAAAAATCTGTAATAGCAACTGTCATTTACTGTTATAAAGACAGACACATTATTCAAACCTGGGGCAGTTCCAGAAGAGGACTCTAAAAGGTAAGTAATGATATACCGGAAGTGAGTAATGAAGTCTGCCTTCGGCTCACTCCCAGAAATTACTGCGATACTTGGCATTTCTATTGTGCTGCGCTGATTACAGCAGTGTCCCTCAAAGTAGCGCAGACCCTGGAGATCCTGAGCAGGTAGTGGGTGCCACGTGTCTGCTCTGCTCCAGCCAGCCTGGATGCTTGCTCTCCTCATTTTCCAAGAACCTGTCCTTGGGTATCCAGCTGCAGAGTTTGATGAGTTCCCCTGGAAGCCTATAGAATATTCCTATTTAAACTGAAAGCCCATCTTTTAAGAAACGTGATAACATTTTTGCAGGATCTTACCATTTTTCATTTTCCTCTTTCCTTCTCACAAAAGTAAGCTATGTCCCTGATTAAAATGTTTTCCACCATTATAGCAATGTGGAAAATGTTGCTTTGGTGAGGATTTTATACTTTTTGTAGTAGAAAAGAGAAAAAGAGAAGAAATACAGATAGGAAGTTCCCTTCCCCTTACCATCAAGGTAACCAGCGTTAGCAATTTAAGTGAAACCCAGCAAATGGTTTTTTTCCCTATGTTTCTAACTAGGCAATAACTTTTTTTTTTTGTCAGTCATGGGGCTTGAACTCTGGGCCTGGACGCTGTCCCTCAGCTCTTCAGCTCAAGGCAAGTGCTCTACCACTTGAGCCACAGCATCACTTCCTGTTTTCTCAGGGTTAATTGGAGATGAGCCTCAAGGACTTTCCTGCCCAGGCTGGTTTTGAGCTGTGATCCTCATATCTCAGCTTCCTGAGTAGCTAGGATGACCGGCGTGAGCCGCCAGTGCCCAGAGGCAATAACTTTTAAAGACCTCTGCACTACAGTTCTTGTGTGTGTGTGTGTGTGTGTGTGTGTGTGTGCACGCACTCGTGCATGCACACATGCACCAATATTAGGGCTTGAACTCAGAGCCTGAGTGCTGCCCCTTACATTTTTAGCTCAAAGCTAAACCACAGCTCTACTTTGGCCCTTTTGGTGTTTAATTGTAAATAAGAATCTCATGGACTTTCCAGCCTAAACTTACTTTGGACTGTGATCCTCAGATTTCAGCCTCCTGAGTAGCTAAGATTATAGGCATGAGCCACTGGCTCCTGGATGCATTGCAATTTTGACAGCTGTTTTATATCAAGCCACAGTAAGAATTATTTGTTCAATACATGATCCTAAGCAGATTTTAAAAATAATTCAGCCTTGCTGGGCACCAGTTGATCATGCCTGTAATTCTATCTAATCAGGAGGCTGAGATTGGAGGATCCCAGCTCAAAGCCAGCCTGGCCAGGAAAGTCCATGAAAGTCTTATGTCCAATTCAGTACCCCCCCCCAAAAAAAAGAAAAAGCCAGAAGCTGGGCTTGAGCGGGAGACCACTAGACTTGAGCACAAAATCTTAGGGACAGCACCCAGACCCTGAGTTCAAGCCTCAGTCCCAGAAAAAATAAATTCAGCCTCATACTTTAAACATGGGGTCGCTGAAGTTCCAAAGAAATGTTTCCCAAGTGAAGGGGAGGACAAACACCATCAGTATTTAAAACCAGCGAAGGGTAGAGCTACGAAAATTCTTGGAACAGCAATGCTGATGGATTTCTAGCTGTCAACTTGTGACACTGAAATCTACAGGGGCCAGAAAGTTTCAAGTAAGAATGTAGTCTGCTGCATCTCTGGAATGGATTTTCAGCTGACTCAAACAAACACCAAAATAGCACAGAGTCTGCCTCAGATAAACCTTCCCTCCCAGCAGTCTTCTCTCCGCAGCCGGCCATGCCGTTCTGTCTCCTGCCTGCCTTGAACAAAGCTCTCAGAGACGCTGCCATTTTCTCAGCTCTGGTTTCCATTCTCGCTGTTGTAAAATGAAAGCCCCTGGTGTACAAAGAGACTGTGCTCCCAACACTTACAACTCACCTGTTGGGAGCTCGAAGCCTGCTTTCCCACAGAAACAAGTCCACGTGAGATCTTGAAATTAATGAATCAGATTGAACTGTGTGCACTGTGGAAGTGGAATACCTTGGACAATGCTGTCTTTTTTTTAAAAAAAATTGTTTTCTTTCAGTGTTCTAACTAGGGATGCCCGGAATGTGTCCTTATCTGAGGTCTGGGAACTTCTGTCCTTGTGTCTCACAGGCGTTTGATGCTCTGGAGACCTGGCACAGGCAGAGCCAAGGGACAAGGCTGCCATTCGTTCCCGTTTCTCTGAGGAGTTCTCAGTGCCCTCTCTGTGGAGTGTATCAAACAAGGATCCTCAAAATGCAAACTACTTTCTTAAGACAAAAGTGTAACCACTGACTTGCTTGGCTTTTAGATTCTGCAACTTCCTTAGATTTAAAGATTATCTCCCTTCTGTTCCTTATAGTAAATAGTGATATAATCCTTAAAACCATTTCCCTGCTTTCTGGGGAAGACAGCAAAGAAAGAGAGAGTGGAGGGGCCTGTCCTTTTAGACAGGCAAGTTCTCAGGCTCTGCTGAATAAAATCCCTTGGATAGGAGCCTCACAATCTGGGCTCAACAACCCCTCCCGGTGGTTCCAAGGATCAAGCTCAAGTTTGAAGACCTTTAGTACAGCAGATAAGGAAGGGCCTGCCTGGAATCTTGGGCATGCCCCTCAGCAGCTGTGTGAGCTTGAACACATTAAACTTATAAAGACCATGAAGAGTAAATATTTATTAATTATTAAGATTAAATGAAATAATGCATTTGAAGCACTTATTGCAATGCTAGACCTTGTTGGCTTCCTATCACAACAACAAAATGCTAATCATTAACTTAAAAAGGAAAAAGCTCTATGATGACTCACAAGTTTGGCGGTTTCAGTCCATGGTTGGTTGGCACCACTGGTTTTAGGCCTGAGCAGAGGGGGATTCTGGCTTCACCTGTCCCCTTGACCTATGCAAGTGAACAAACGGCTCAACTACAGGCAGTCTTACCTATATCACAGTGAGGCAGGTGGAGAGAAAAACTACTTACATCAAGGGAGAAAAGAGAGAAACAGAAGTGTCCTTTTGAGGATACACCCCCAATGACCTAAGAATTTCCCAGTAGGCTCCACCCCTCCAAGGTTTGAACACTTCCCAGTAATATCCTCTGGGGACCAAGCCTTTAACACATGGGCCTTTGAGAGACAGTCAGCATCAACAGTATAGTAAGGACATAAGAACACACTCAGCAACTATGGGGCACTATTATGTAAGAGGTAAGAAAGTGTATGCCTGTAAGGTTTTCAACAAGTTAGCACAGCATTTACCAGCTGTTAAAGGGCCCTTTCAGACCCTGACATTTTGCTTTCAACAGATTTGAAGGTCAAATATATTCTGTGTGATCTCATCTGTACAGAAACAAAGCTATAGTTCTTAATTCTGGCTGACCATCAGAATCCTCATGGAGCTTTTAAACTCTGCCCTTCCCCAGTCCTCCAGAAATAATCTCCAGTTACTGATGCTGGACATCACCACAGGGAATGCTGCAAAACAGCCACTGGAATAAAAATTGACAATAATTAGGACTTTGAGTATCTGCATCACTATCCTAAACCCCCACCCCATAATTCTGAGATGGGATCTTGCTCTGGTTGCCTAAAGTGACCTTGAACTTGTGAGCCCCCTACTTCAGTCTCCCCAGTCGCCAAAACTACAGCATTCACAACACCCAACCCAACTTCTCAGGAAACCCTATGAGGTTGGTACTGTTTCTGTATTTAACAAATGAGTAAACTGAGGTAGTAAGAAACTACATTACACTACATTCACACAGCTGAAACGTAATTTAGGACTTAATCTACATTTGAGCTACTAGATGCAGAAACTAGTGCATCTGATGGCTCACACCCGTAATCCTAGCTACTTAAGACGCTGAGATCTAAGCATTGCAGTTCAAAGTCAGCCTGGGTAGAAACGTCCATCTTATCTACAATTAACCAGCAAAAAGCCAGAAGTGGAGCTGTAGTTCAAGTAACAGAGTGCCAGCCCTGAGTGAAAAAGCCAAGGGACAGTGCCCAGGCCCTGAGTTCAAGCCCCAGGGCCAACACACACACACACACTCACTCACTCATACTCATTCATCCCACATGCATTTGTTAGGCATCATCAGGTAAGACACCGAGGGCTGAGAATGTAAAAATGAATACAGACCCCCTCCATGTCCTCAAGAAACCCGTGCCCTAGAGATCAGTAAAATGAAATCAGGCGGACTGGCGCTTCACTTTAAAGAGACTGGCGTGTCTCTGTGTGAGAGGCTGAGGGTTTTCTAGCAACCACTAGTTTTTTTCCTCTCCGTGGCCATTTACTGAGCTCGTCCGGGTCGGCACAGCGGCCTCGGGCCTGTGAGCACCAGGCCTGACCAGGGCGCGAGGACCTCCTTCCCTTGGGCTGGTTTGTGTCCTTCGGGCAGCCATCAGGTTAGCCTCGGAACCCGGTACGGTGGGGGAGGAGGTGTGAGTCCCTCGCCCCGCCCCGGCCGCCCCGGCCCG